AATCAAGAAGAAGAGAAGGAGCTGATCGAGGTGCTTAAGAAGAATCAAAAGGCCATTGGTTGGAGCCTAGGCGACATAAAGGGGATCAGCCCTTCCACTTGTATGCACCAGATCGTTTTGGAGGAGGGTACCAGGCCATTTCGGGATAGCCAGCGACGGCTCAACCCGAATATGATGGAGGTAGTGAAAAAGGAAGTGTTGTAGCTTTACTCCGAGGGACTCATTTATCCAGTGGCCGACAGCGAGTGGGTCAGCCCCATCCATGTGGTGCCAAAGAAGGGGGGCATCACGGTGATCGAAAATGAGAAGAAGGAGATGGTCCCCACCCGTATTACTACCGGGTGGAGAATGTGCATTGATTACCGGCGACTCAACGCCGTAACAAAGAAGGACCACTTTCCGTTGCCATTCATTGATCAGATTCTCGACCGTCTCTCGGGCCACCAATTCTACTGCTTCTTAGATGGCCTCTCGGGCTACTACCAAGTGGCTATAGCTCCGGAGGATCAGCCCAAGACAACCTTCACGTGCCCATTTGGCACATTTGCCTTCAGACGTATGCCCTTCGGTCTGTGCAATGCACCCGGGACCTTCCAACGGTGCATGTTCTCCATCTTCTCCGACATGCTCGAGGATTGCTTACAGGTATTTATGGATGACTTCTCTATATTTGGTACTTTATTTTCTGATTGTCTCCATAATTTATCTCGTGTGCTTGAAAGATGCATTGAGTCAAATTTGACTTTGAGTTGAGAGAAAAGTCACTTTATGGTGACTAGTGGAGTCGTGCTTGGTCATGTGGTATAGAGTCGGGGGATTGAGGTTGACAAAGCAAAAGTTGATGTTATTGAAAAACTTCCCCCGCCCGTAAATGTAAAAGGTGTTCGAAGCTTTTTGGGTCATGCTGGCTTTAACAGGCGATTTATTAAAGATTTTTCAAAAATCAGCCAGCCCTTGTGTCACTTGCTTGCTAATGATGTGCCTTTTGTGTTTGATGATGCATGTTTAGATGCCTTTGATAAATTGAAAAATAAGCTTGTGATTGCTCCTATTGTGATTGCACCTGACTGGTCTTTGCCCTTTGAGATTATGTGTGATGCATCGAACCTTGCTGTGGGAGCCGTTCTGGGCCAACGAGTTGATAAATTGCTTCGTGTAATTTATTATGCTAGCTTGACCCTGAATGGTGCCCAATTAAATTACACGACCACTGAAAAAGAGCTATTAGCTGCTGTGTTTTCTCTTGAAAAATTTAGATCCTACATCTTGGGGTCTAAAGTGATTGTGCATTTTGATCATGCAGCTCTTAGGTATCTTTTGAGTAAAACTCAATCGAAACCTAGACTTATTAGGTGGATTTTGTTGTTGCAAGAGTTTGATGTCGAGATTCGGGATAGGAAGGGTTGTGAAAATGTTGTTGCTGATCACTTGTCTCGCATTGTTCCTTTTGATCCTTCACTTGCATCGCATGAGCATGTAGGCATAAATGATGATTTTCCATATAAACATGCAAATGAAGTGGATAGTGTTCCTTGGTATGCAGACATAGTGAACTATTTGTCAGATGGTGTTTTGTTGGCTAACCTCTCTTCCCAAGAGAGGAAACGGTTTGTTTTGATGTGTAGGAGCTATTTCTGGGACGACCCATTCCTTTTCAAGATGGGAAAAGATGACATTCTTCGGAGGTGTGTGCCCGAAGAGGAGCAATTGGATGTCCTTATCTTCTGCCACGAACTTCATTGTGGAGGACATTATGGAGGTCGAAAGACCGCCTGTAAGGTTCTCCAATCAGGTTTATTCTGGCCTACACTTTTCAAAGATGCGTATAAATTTTGCAAGTCTTGTGATCGTTGTCAAAGAATTGGGAATATTGGCCCAAAGAATGAGATGCCCCTTGTGAATAATTTGCAAGTTGAAATCTTTGATATATGGGGCATTGACTTCATGGGGCCATTTCCCAAGTCTCTTGGCTTTGAGTATATACTTCTTGCTGTGGATTACGTGTCCAAGTGGGTCGAGGCTATCCCCACTAGGACATGTGATGCTAACGTTGTGATCAAGTTTTTGCAAAGTCATGTCTTGAGTAGGTTCGGATTTCCACGAGCTATTGTGAGTGACGGGGGCAAACATTTTTGCAACCGAATGTTTGAGAAGTTGATGAAGAAGTACGGGATTTCTCACAAAGTGGCCACCCCATACCACCCACAAACTTCGGGCCAAGCTGAGACGAGCAACAAACAAATCAAGACCATTCTTGAGAAGACGGTGAACTCGTCTCGAAAAGATTGGTCGAGCCGGCTCGATGATGCACTCTGGGCCCAACATACAGCTTATAAAGGAGTTTTGGTGATGAGCCCGTTCCGGCTTGTCTATGGAAAGGCGTGCCACCTTCCGGTCGAGATAGAGCACAAGGCATTTTGGGCCATTAAGAAGATGAATTTTGATCTCGAGGCAGCGGGACGAGAGCGAGT